GGGCTCTATTAAGAAAGCAGATAACATGGCAGGAACTTTCGATTCTACCTTCACCCCTTATAATCATAATCAAGTCTATCTGTTATCATTCTGGACTGTATTTAAAAAGATCTTTTTTGTTTTACTGTTGTTACATATTAATCAAGTCTATGTCTCTTTCTCTGAATACTTCATTCTTCACCTCCCATCAAACCTCATTGGATTTTTAACAGATTTCAGCTTCGTTACAGAAAAATTATAAACAGTTGCAGCTGTCTAACAATAAAAAGAGTTGCATTAGTAGCAGTGAGCATGCCAATAAAGAGTGAATGACTATTTATAGTGGTGATGTTGGAGATGTTGGATATATCGAGTTTTATTTATTCCTCTGTAATTCTAAAATTCTATTATTACGTTTTAGAAAGTAAATAACATGTATCATAATGTCTAAGCAGTCTAGAATTGAACACTGTTATATAACTGTATTAACAAGAATGTTCTAGCAGCTAATTTAATGATATTAAGTAGAACTAATTTTCATAAAACAGTTCTTCTGTCCTACTCAGTAAATTACTGACCACCTACCATTTGCACAAGGTAAAAGTAATAGACAGCTATTATATGAAGCAAACCAGAAACATACAGATGAAGGTAGAATGATTCCATTCAGAGAAATATAAATGACAGATTAATACTCTTCTTTCCACAAGGGACCAGGGAAGGAATATACTTTAATTTTTATGCTACCTTCTCTCCAGCTCTCCTTTTGAATTACCCCTTTCTTTTCTATACCTTAATACCAAGATTTAAAAATTGAAGAGGATTCTGAATCATATTTCAGAATTTGTTGTTTCATTGTATGCTTTCTTAACAAACTAAGCAGCAATTTGCAGAATTATTTTAACTCCCTAAGGCAAAATCCAATGGTAAGCTTAAACATAACTCTTCTGACACTGAGAGTCCTCTCTGACCCAATCCGGCCTCCCCTACTTGTACTGTCCCCCACTTGGACAACATGGAGAGTTCAGAAGCAATTTCTCTACATCACCAGTGGGAAAGCAACACTGATGTGCTGTTACAAAGCCAGCGCTTTGCAACAAAATGTAATAGAACAGCACTTTTACTGCAGGATGGTGTATAACTTGTTTATTCAAGTAGGTTGCAGTTATCATTTCAGCTTATTGTTGCTTTCTGGCATTCAAATTTCCTCAGATTTTCTGAACATTTGGCATGTGAGAAGCCGTAAGAATACACATTCCCTTGGCTAGGGATCGCATAGTGTAATATTAAGAGGCTTTTGTTACTCCTGATAAAATCAGAAGAAGCATCATTTTGGCAATACCCCTGTTTCTTAATATGTATTTAATTATTCTATTATTTTTAGATTAGTAATATTTGTTTCCAATAGGGGCTACTTTTGACCAGTGGTTATCAGTAGACGTGCTGTGTGAAGAGGTTCAACATCATGTGAAGTATGTAATAAAAAATAATAAAGCACAAATGTTTTCCCTTTATGCTTCATTTCAAAAATTAGAGAAACTTGCTAGAAGTA